AAAAAAAAAAAAAAAAAAAAGAATGAGAGCAACCTGAAAACAAAGGTAAGGACGTGAAAAGAGACGGGGGGATGAAAAGACGAGCAAATGAAACAAAGGTAAGAACTGCATACGTTTTTTTTTTGTCTTTTTTTCCCCTAAGGTAAGAACAACTATGGCACAAAAAAATTAATGTCTCAGTTGTAGTAGCTATTTTGTCACCAAACTGCAACTCGCAATAGTTGCTGGATTGGTTTATCAGATAGCTCAGTGTTAATGGCTGAACTAGTCCAGTTGAAAGGAGAAACCTTGGAAAGTTGGATATAGGATTCTGGAAAGTTGGTAATCTGAACTTTCCGCAGGCGATTGCCTGTAAGCTAAGCTGGAAGATGCTGTCAGTATTCCGCGTTGAATTGTGAGGTCCCCGGCCTCGTTCCCTCGTTTATAATGAACTGATTTTAAAAATAATAATAATAATAATAATAATAATACTGCACCCTATACGTATATATATAAGTAAGATTAGCGATCAGCCATCCTTCCCCCAAATAGAACGCGCAACGGTCAATTCGGGGGAAGGACGGTAATGGCAAACATTCATATCATAGGTGAACGCTTATCTGCGGATCACTCAGTGAATCTTCACCGAATGCTCTCGAGAACGTTCATGATAATTGAGATTCCCTCCTACCTCCCTTTCGACTCTCGTTCGGTGTCGTTAACCATCTCCATCATCGCCTGCCAGGTGAACATTCAGGGAAGCTTCCCGATCGGTACACGTTCAGCCTCCACCAGCCTCCCACAATTACCCCCACTCCGTCAATTAAACCCTAATCTTCTTCTTTCTTTTTTTTCTTTTTTTTCAATTTTTTTTTTTCGCTTTTTTGAAGTTTTTACTTTTTTGTTCCTTTTTTTTCTTTCCCTTTCTTTTTTCTTTTTTTTTCCCTTTTCTCCCGTTTTTTCGTTTTTTTTTGTGGAGAACCTACACCCTAATCTTTGACAGCTGGCAAGCGCATTTCTCTCGGAATGAGAAACGTGCAGGCGCTACCCCTCTTCACCCAAAAAGACCGCCCTGTTATTATCGCTGCATCTGGACTGAAAGTCGTGCCCAATACACAGAGAACTACCGTACGTTCTATTCGGGGGAAGACAGCAGTGAGCGTCTACGTGAAGGGCTCGTGTGGCGGCTTCAAAAAAAAAAAAAAAAGAAAGAAAGAAAAAGCTCCGTCTGCAGCGCTTCATGGCAATTGTGTGAAGCCAAAAAACATCCAAGCGCGAAAGAGAAAAGGCGGGAACATTTTCTCTTTCATTGGTGGGAATATTTTCTCTTTCATTGGCCTCCTTTTCTCTTTCCCGCCACTGAGCACGCCGGCCCGACTAGAATTAAATGGAGAGCCGATTTTATTTTTTTTTGAGAGAGAGCCGATTTTTTTGTGAGTCTGAGAATCTTGGAAGTTGGAACATATAAGCGAAACTGGGGAATGGCTGCCAGGAATATAACGCCGGGTCGAATTGTGGGGTCCCCTTGGTCTCAAGTCAAAATTGATTTTAATATGGGCTGAATGTATTTCGGGGGGAAGGGGGGGGAGAAGAGTAGAACGGAGGCACGAGAAGTAGGTACAACAGCAAAACCAAGAGTCCAAAGAGGGGGGGAAGACACAGAACAAGAACGAGGAGGAAAACAGAAAGGGAAAAAAAAAAGAAAAAAAGAAAAAAAAGGAAAACAGAGGCAGCAATAATGCAACAACGGACGATAATAAAACGGAAAGACCTAATAACTTAGTAATAAGTAATCGAACAAAAACAGAGCAAAAAAGAGAGACGACAAGAAAAAAGGGGGGGGGAAAAAGACGACCAAAAAAAAAAAAAAAAAAAGATTGTAATTTCTTTTTTTTCCTCTGCTTTATTATTATAATTAAGGAAGCTCCCGGTAGAGATGAAAATTTCCCTTTCTTTGTTTTGCTCCTGAAAGCGGAACGAAAAACGGATTAACATCCTAACGGATAAATCCAGAATCTGTGTCAACGTAACAAACCGCTTTCACCGGTTAACTTCCCACGAGCAACGGATTATTCCAATAAGAATTTTAACAGATAATAATTTCAGAACGAGAAACGGAACAAACCTAGGATACCATAGCGGCCCGGGACCACTTGCCCGGCCGGACTGGGAAAAAAAGATTATAAATTACAAAATATATATTTGTTTATTTTAAATTTGGTAAAGAATTTCGATGTGACCCTGAGGCAGAAGTTGTTCAGTTTATTTTTGTGCAGAACTTTTTTTTTTCAGATTTTTAATTCATTTTTTGCTTTCTTTTTTTTTTTTTTTTTTTTGCTGCGAACTTCTTTGGTCCTTGCATGACCGGGCCGGGGCGGCCGGACAAACAAGGTGACCTGGGCGGCCCGGCTGGTAGAGCCCAGGAACAAACCGAATAACGGAAAGGCACGATACCTATTTTGGACAATCGGCGCACGCATGCCTCTAGATCTTGCCTTGCCGTTTTCTCCCTCTTCCCCCCCTCCTCCCCCCCCCCAAAAAAATAAAAAAATTAAAAAAAATGGGCCTAGCTTAGTTGATACACACACAAACTGTTGAAATATGAATCAGACCCAAGTTCGAATCCAGATACAATCAGATGATGACCAGAATAAAATCATTCTGAATCACCCGGGGCCGATCAGTTCAATGATGATATCTCAAGCCCGACGGCCTTTGCATTACAAAAAAAAAAATATTGTCTTTACGTTATTCGGTTTATTCCGTTTCTCGTTCTGCAATTATTATCTGTTAAAATTAATCTTGAATAATCCGTTGCTCATCTGAATTTATCCGCCGCTAAAAGCGGTTTGTTACGTTGACAGATTCTGAATTTTTCCGTTAATCCGTTAATCCGTTTTTTTTGCCCTTTCAGCAGCAAGAAACGAAAAAAAAAAAAACGGAAAGACCGAGAGGCACGCATTTCCCTTTTCGAACAAATGTACATTTGTTCAAAATAGGTATTCTGAGACGGAAGGCGCATTTCTTTCTTTTTTCTTCTCTTTTAGTCATCACATATGCCGCGATTCTCTCTCTCTCTCTCCCTCTCGCGCGCGCGCGCGTCAACAGAACTGCCCGGTAAACCGTAGGCAGAGAGAGAGGGAGGGAGAAAAGGACAACAAACGAGGGAGGGGCTGTGACAGACTGTGTCGTAGGAGGTTCACCGGCTCATCAGGAGGCGGCTCATCAGGAGTCTGAACCTATATATTGTCACATTGTGAATCAGAGCGCAAAAAAGGGAAAAGAAAAAAGGAAAAGGAAAAAAGGGGAAGGGGAAGGAGGTAAGGAAAGCTCCACCTGTTCATAACCTCTTACGTACAAGGCCAGCCACGTGGATGACAGGTTGAGCGCTGGCTG